TCCATGTCCCTGCAAAGGACATGAACTCATCCTTTTTTATGGCCGCATAGTATTCCATGGTGTATATGTGCCACATTTTCTTTATTCAGTCTATCATTGATGGACATTTGGGTTGCTTCCAAGTCTTTGCTATTGTGAACAGTGCTGCAATAAACATACATGTGCATGTATCTTTATAATAGAATGATTTATAATCCTTTGGGTATATGCCCAGTAATGGCATTGCTGAGTCAAATGGTATTTCTAGTTCTAGATCCTTGAGGAATCGCCACACTGTCTTCCATAATGGTTGAATTAATTTACACTCCCACTGACAATGTAAAAGCATTCCTATTTCTTTACATCCTCTCCAGCATCTGTTATCTCCTGATTTTTTAAATGATTGCCATTCTAACTGGCATGAGGTGGTATCTCAATGTGGTTTTGATTTGCATTTCTCTAATGACCAGTGATGATGAGTTTTTTTCATATATTTGTTGGCTGCATAAATGGCTTCTTTTGAAAAGTGTCTGTTTATATCATTTGCCCACTTTTTGATGGAGTTGTTTTTTTCTTGTAAATTTGTTTGAGTTCTCTGCAGATTCTGGATATTAGCCCTTTGTCAGATGGGTAGATTACAAAAATTTTTTCCCATTCAGTTGGTTGCCGTTTCACTCTATTGATAGCTTGTTTTGCTGTGCAGAAGCTCTTAAGTTTAATTAGATACCATTTGTCTATTTTGGCTTTTGTTGCTATTGCGTTTGCTGTTCTAGTCATGAAGTTCTTGCCCATGCCTATGTCCTGAATGGTATTCCCTAGGTTTTCTTCTAGGATTTTTATGGTGTTAGGTCTCATGTTTAAATCTTTAATCCATCTAGAGTTAATTTTTGTATAAGTTGTAAGGAAGGTATCCAGTTTCAGCTTTCTAGGTATGACTAGCCAGTTTTCCCAACACTATTTATTAAATAGAGAATCCTTTCCCCAATTTTTGTCAGGTTTGTCAAAGATCAGATGGCTGTAGGCATGTGGTGTTCTCTCTGAGAACTCTGTTCTATTCCATTGGTCCATATATCTGTTTTGGTACAAGTACCATGCTGTTTTGATTACAGTAGACTTGTAATATAGTTTGAAGTCAAGTAGTGTGATGCCTCCAGCTTTGTTGTTTTTTTGTTTTGTTTTTGTTTTTTGCTTAGGATTATCTTGGCTATGTGGCCTTTTTTTTTGGTTTCATATGAAGTTTAAGGTGGTTTTTTCCAATTCTGTAAAGAAAGTCATTGGTAGCTTGATGGAGATAGCATTGAATCTATAAATTACTTTGGGCAGTATAGCTATTTTCATGATATTGATTCTTCCTAACCATGAGCATGGAATATTTTCCATCTGTTTGTGTTCTCTCTTATTCCCTTGAGCAATGGTTTGTACTTCCCCTTGAAGAGGTCCTTCACATCCCTTACTAGTTGTATTCCTAGGTATTTTATTCCCTTTGTAGCAATTGTGAATAGGGGTTCACTCATGACTTGGCTATCTGTTTGTCTATTATTGGTGTATAGGAATGCTTGTGATTTTTGCACATGGATTTTGTATCCTGAGACTTTACTGAAGTTGTTTATCAGCTTAAGGAGATTTGGGGCTGAGATGATGGGGTTTTCTAAATATACAATCATGTCATCTGCAAACAGGGACAATTTGATGTCCTCTCTTCCTATTCAAATACGCTTTGTTTCTTTCTCTTGCCTGGTGGCCCTAGTCAGAACTTCCAATACTATGTTGAAGAGAGTTGTGAGAGAGGGCATCCTTGTTTTGTGCCAGTTTTCAAAGGGAATGCTTCCAGTTTTTGCCCATTCAATATAATATTAACTATGGGTTTGTCATACATTTTTAATCCCTATAATTTACTTCACTGGTTCTAGAAATGTGGTCCAGAAACCAGCATCATCAGCATCACTTGGAAACTTGTTAAAGAAGCAAATTCTTGGGTCTCACTCCAGCCTTAATGGATCTGAAACAAGGTGGGGCCCAGTAATCTGTGCTTTAACAAGATGCTAGTGGATTTTGCAGCATGATAAAGATTAAGAACCACTACTATATACCACCCTAAGAAATGCACAATAGTAATATATTATTTGCTTTCTGTTTATTTTATACCCTTTTGCAAAAGTATTGTTTATGGATGAGGCAGAGTCGGGATCTTGAACTTTTATCCTTGGTAGTATAGGCCATCTTGTGGACCTCTATGAAACACTTTTTAAATGGAAAGGGAAATGCTGTCACATATGTCTTGAATGATTTGAGTTCATTTGTGTATAAAGATGAGATGCTAGATTGGAGAACTTTTTGAGATTCTTTGCATCTTCAACACCATAATATTATTCCTGTCTCTCATTGCATGTGTTTGTGATAATCAGGGATTACATGAATATAAAACTAATATAGCGTTTTGCTTGCATGTGTGATAATCATTAAAAACACAGCATGAATGATAGCAACACATGGCATTTAAAAATAAGCTTTCCAATTATGCCAGGAGATGCAGAGCTCATTTTGTTTTGCCACAGAGGGTGTAATATTAGTAAGTAAAGGTTTGAAGAAGTGGTTTTCCTTGGAATACATTAGAAAGATTTCTGTTTTCCTATGTGCAACATTGGTGCTGCATCTATCTCACAGGTGCAGATCAACAAGACAGTTCTCTAAACTTGCTTTTAAAGAAAAGCCCTCTAGTAATATTCAGTCTTATTATGGTTAGAGATATTAAAGCACAAAAACTTTGCAATCCCACAACTGAATTACATTTCATGTGATGAGTTTTTGATATTACATGTGGTTGAGCCCAAACAATATGCTTTGAAAACAATCAAAACTTACAATTATAAAAAGAATTTGAAGTGTATGGGTGTTCTGCAGTTTCTTATCAAAAATGTAATTGCAGACTTCCTTTATTTCACTATCTCAAGTATGGCATTATATGCCCATCACTCAGAGAGAGAGATAAACAAATTTGATGCTCATTTTTAATCTCTGTGCCAGCAACAACACTCTTACCCATCGGGCCAAGTTCTTATTCAGAACTCGTTAGACTACTAAAATTTAATAATGCTTATTTACAGAGATCCAAAGGGTACTTTACTATTAATACTGCATTCCCAGATATTTTTATTATCCTTCACTAAACATAATTAGCAATATATGCTCAAAATTTTCTTCCCAACTATAGTTTCTCTAATAAACATTTTTGAATAGGCTACATCTACGTGGGTTAATGTGCTAATAAGATTAACTTTTTATTGGAATTGCTGGTCATTTTAGAAAAAACTAAATGAAATAAACAATTTTGTCAGATATGCCTGTTTTATTTTCATGTCTTTAACTTCTGGATGTAAGTTACAAATTAGCTTTGTTGATTCTGAACTACAGAATCCACTCAATGTGATTTAAACAGAAAGGAGGATTTTGTGATAAGGTCTCTGAGCATGGAGGAAGCAAGCAGTCAGGCCACAAGAGTGCAAGGCTGGATGAGGAAGTGAGGTGGATGCCCTGCCTTGAGACACATGGGCTTTTGCTCATGCTGCATGCCTTCCTTACCCTCGCTTCTCTCTACAAAGTGGTTTTCTTAGATTCCTCTAATGCATATCACCAAACAGGTTGTCTTCAGGGCTGCCACCCTCCCATATGGCACTTATGCATCAATTAGAAATAGGTTTCCTTCTCAATACACTTTGATTCCAACCATCAAAAAATTGTCATAATATGTTGATTTTTGTAGTAATGAGACTCTTCACTGCTGGAACAATGTCAAAATGAACATGCAGAATTCTAACAACTACAATGTGAATGGTACCCCCTTAGGTGTGATGTCCTGACACGGGGCACAGCCTGTTCTACTGTGTGCAGTGCCCTGGCTGTCCTAGCCGTTACGTCAACCCTAACACAGAAAAGGAAGGTTAACCAGGAGAGAGCACATTATTGACCCGGCACCCTGGACGTGCATCTAGAGACAGTAGGTATGGTCAGATACAAACATGACTGCCAGCCAGAATGATCAACCACCACAGTTTGTGTCAGACTGAGGGATTTGATAGATTTGATTAGGATTTTCATAAATTACATTAGGATTTTGATAGATTTGGTAGAGGGAAGAGCTAAGACTGGGTACATTCTGGGCAAACCAGGCAAGTTGGTCACTGTCACTCTTCAAAGTGGGTACAGCTTTCAAAAAGAAGTGTGAGCAGACACCCCAAGGGAGTATAATACACATCATATGTATTACTGTTTGGGGTTGAATTATAATAGTTTGTTATTCTGACATTGTGGAGGCTTAGTCCTGCAGGAGTTTTATTTCATTTGGCCCGACAATGCTATCACAAAATATCATGGTAATCTTTATTTGGGCATTCTAGGCTATATATCACAGTGCTATTTCTTTTCTGTTCAAATTCTATTCCAGCAAAGAAATTATTGTTCTATATTAAATTTGTTTTTTTTTCCAGTCTTGACATTTTGCTTGGGTTAATATTACCATTGTTTTTTCTTAGGAAGTTTTGAAATGTTCTATTTAGGAAAAAAGAAATTTTGAAAAGAAAAATATGTACTTGTGAACTGGATTGGCTAATTTATTATTGTTTTCAATGAGGATGGATATTTATACATGACATACAGATAAATATTTAAACATTTATTTCCTTGAATTAATGTTTCTATCCATTCTGGCGTTTGACACATAAGAGATAAAAGAGATGGAGCATGGCTCCCTATTTGTAGAAGGGCAACGAAGGGTTATCCTTAGAGCTCTACTTCCCAACAAAAAGAAACTTAAGATTTATAATTTCTATCTTTGCATAAAACAAATACAAAAAAATTTCTTAATTTCAGTTAAAATTACCTTCACACTAGATTTTAATCTATAACTTATTTCAAGTCCTACTGGAAGAGAAATGATCAGAAATCTTAAACGCCAACTGAAGAATATAATTTGATCTGATATTAAATTTTAGAAAGAGAAATACCTTTGATAATTAAAATGAGAGTCTAAAATTCAGTTCCTTTTGAGGGACAAGGCAAATCACCAAGGGGAGGGAAGTAGAGACTGAGACAAAAGAGAAGGGAGAAACAGTGATTGTGGGCAAAGTGAGAAGGTCATTGTCACTGGTAGAGGGGAAAAGACAGTGAGGGACCAGTGAAGAGAAGAATGGAGATGAGAGTAAAGATCCAATCAAGATGTTCTGAATTAACTGATATAAGAAGTTCAGCAAAACTGACAGTGAAACATGACAGAGATAAAGCCAATCCCAGTCCCACTATGTACCAGTGTGTAACTAGCTTCCTTCCCTTCCCTGAGCTTAATTATTCCATCTATAAAACACAGATGATATTGTGTATCTTGTGGGGCTATTTTGGGGCTGGATATGTCATGCTTGAAGGTCTTGACACATAATTGTTGCTTAATAAGTAGATTATTTTATTACGGTCATGCTTTATTTTTTACTTCAGAGTGTTATTGTCTTTGCAATGTTAATTATATGATGAACTCTCACCTTTTCAAATTTAATATACTTCAAGTAATTGTTTATGGAAGGTAGGCATCCTGCAAGGTACTAGAAATATAAAATATTGTACCTAACCTTAAGATCTCATAATCCCAGCATTAGAAGAGAAGTTCAAGTAGAGGTGTGTTCTAGGCACGAGTGGTTACTGGCTACAGTGGCTTCGGAAAGGCTTCTTTAAACCTTGGATGAGCCTTAAGAGAGTTTTTCAAACTTTTATGGACATACAAATTACCTACAAATCCTGTTACACTGTTAATTTTGAGTCTGTGGTCTAGGGTACATCCTGAGATTCTGGGTTTATAAGAAGCTCCATGTCAAGATTGCTGGTGAGCTGACTGCACATTGAGTAGCAAGTAAAGAAGCAGTTCTTAACCACAATAGCATGTTAGTATCACATGGGGAATAGGTTTTTTCTTTTTTCAGTGTCAGATTATGAGGCTGGAATTTATTCTTTGAAAGATAGATGAAAAGAAGATAAAACTATGAAGAATGCAATTTGCTACTGTTTTAACAATACCCAGGGATGTAAGTTTATTACACACATGTGCTAGTATGTAAAGATCATGTCCATGTGGAATAAGAGCCCCAGAACGGGGAATATGTTTTAAATTTTACTGTCAGCTACCACTTCCGAAATAGTTTGCTTTCATTGGTCTAGGGAGGAGCCCAGGGAGTCTTAGTTCTAACAGGCTCCCAGGTGATTCTTATGTGAGCCAGAATTCACTCCAGTGCCTTAAAGGATGAGCTGGGACTTGCCAGGACACTTTGGCAAGGGAGATCGCTTTGTAGAAAGGAAGAACAGCATGTGGAAAAAACACGGATGTGTGGATCCCAGTGGCATATTTAGGGAATTCACATGTCATTCAGTTTGACACTATGGTAGAGCAAAGGATGAGGGGTGGAGGTGAGAGATGATATTGGGTAGGCAAGTTACATATTTGCCTTTCAAAAAATACATACTTTTTCATCGTGGTAAAATATATACAACATGAAGTTTACAACTATAGCCATTTTTAAGTGTACAATTCAGTGGCAATAAGTACAATGTTATATAACTGTCACCACTATCTACTCCCAAAACCTTTTCATCACCCTAAACAGAAACTCTGTAATCATTAAGTGTTAACTCCACATTTCTCCTCCCCAGGCACTGGTAACCTGTATTCTACTTTCTGACTCGATTTATTTGCCTGTTCTTGATACTGCATATAGATGAAACAACACAAAATATGTCCTTTCTGTCTGGCTTATTTTACTTAGCATAATGTTTTAAAGTTTCATTCATACTGTAGCATGTATCAGCACTGCATTCCCTTTTATGGCTGAATAATATTCTCTGTTCTAGTTGTACCATATTTTGTTTATCCATTTGTCTATTGGTGGACACTTGGGCTATTTCCATCTTTTGGCTATCGTGAATAATGCTATGACCATTCAATCCTAGTTACAGATCAGAATAACATGTGGAATTAAAAAAAAAAATACTGCTGTCTGGGCCTTACTTTAGATCAACCAAACTCAACTCTCTGGGCACTAAGTTCAGACATGTTGTTGTGGCTTTAAACCTTCCCAAGTGATTCTATTGTACAGCTAGAAATGTGAATTGCTGATTTACGTAAGGCAAATTGAATCCAAGTGCCAGGTGCAATTCCTTTAAGGGTTAATTTCTTAAGATTCACTGTACAGAACAATCACTTGGAGAGCTCCTTGAGAAGGCCTAGACATAGTACTCGGATGAAGAGTTTTATTTACTAGGTCTTCGATAGGCCTTAGAAATCCTGATGCAGTGATATGGTTATGCCTTGTGGCCCCATCCAAATCTCATCCAAATTGTAATCCCCAGGTGTTTAGGAAAAGACCTGGTGAGAAGTGATTGGATTAAGGGGGCGGTTTCCTCCATGCTTTTCTTGTGATAGTGAGTTCTCACAAGATATGATGGTTTGATAAGACAGTTTTCCCTGCTTTTGTGAGCACTCTTTTTCCCGTTGCCATATGAAGAAAGTCCTTGCTTCCCCTTTCACCTTCTACCATGATCGTAAGTATCCTGAGGCCTCCCCAGCCATGATCTGTGAGTCAATTAAACAGTTTTTCTTTATAAACCACCCAGTCTCTGGCAGTTCTTTATAGCAGTGTGAAAATGAACTAATACATGTAGTTATCCTGGAACTCTAGTTTGAAGAACACTAACTTCGGACTATTTGGCTTGGCACAGAGAAACTGCACATCTTTGTTACATTCTGATAACCATACTGTCTTTGCATCTTTAATTGCAAGGAGCCATTTGTCATAAAAGAAGCTGAGTGAAAATCTAGGGATAGTTCAGAAAATCTATTCACTGTTGTGGAGAAATTTGGACCAGTTGAAACATCAAATATAACATACTTGATATAATAGGGATACATCAGTAGAGAAGAATCCTGGGCCTCTCTCTCTCACTTTGCTCATTTTTGAGCTCTGTCCTTTATTGTCTAAATTAATCCTCAAAGAACTTTATGTCTAGATTATATCTATTAATGACATTACAAAAGAGATGAGATAATTAAGCATCAATGTATTTTTCTCTAACTCTATATTGTATTTGTGTCAGAAATGTATACAGCATAGTGACTTTCATCAAGTTGTGCCTGGATCCACCTAGCTGATGTTTATTTCATAACATTTTAGATCATAATATTTTGACCCTGAAACATATTGAACTTTTTTAGAATTAAAACATTGTTAAAATATATTTTTTGTATCTAGTCACGCTTACAGGAGTGTGCATCAATTATTCCATACCTAGATTCCCATGTAACAGAGTGACAATGCATTTTTTCACATTCTCATGTTCACTACAATGAAAAAGCCTTCAAACTCATTCAAGCTTCTTCTGTGTTATTGCATGGCAGGGTTATTGGTATTTGATGTGTCAGACATGAGGAAACTTCTGTCTTTCCAAGCATAGACAGAAATGTACTTCACTTAAGTGTAAAATTATGAAGGATGTAATTTTGTACTCAAACTTCAATTATAATAATTCTTTCAATTAACATGCCCTGTTTCTTGTTTGCTTGGGCCCTTAAATATGACAGTCTTCTCTTTCCATAAGAGAACAGAAAGAATTTTACCTAAATACAGCTTGGAGAGAAAAGTGGAGTTGGCAGTTTTATTATTCTTTCTTATTTTTATTACTCTCTAAGTTTAACTACTGTATTTTGACAGCTTTCAAAAAAATATTCACAAGACTTTGCTGTATTCCAAGAATGACAAGTTCATGGAGAATTTTGACTGCTTTGTCAAAGCTGGGTCACATAAGCACATGGCCCTTTTTGAGGACTTCCTAAAGCAGACACAGAAAGGTAGTTACCTGACAACTTCATTGGGTGAGTATGAAGTGATACAGCCCTCTCCCTATGGTCTCAAAAGTCAGGGAACCATATATTATGGGGTCCCGCCTTAGGTTACGAATCTGTAGCAGCCCTTATATTCTCCTGGCTAGGCCCAGGAGAGCTTAAACATTGAGATATGTAGATAGGTTATCTGCCATATTTGGGAACTAAAACCAACAGAAAACATATCTCTGAAAGGATCTGGATCTCTTTGAGGGTCTTCTAGGCAAATGCTATCAAAATGAAGCTGGGCCCCAAAACAATTTCTTAAGAGGAAAGATGAATGAATTATGGATGCTTCCCCTAGAGGGGGAAAAAACTCAGTAGGGGACCTATTCACTGTCTCTAAGGGTTTGGAAGAATGGCAGGTGTTGTTGTCCAGATGATGAGCCAGTATGTGATTCTTTGGATCATGACAGGACCCTCAGCACCTCGAGCTGATTTTTATTGTTTGGAAGTGGGTCTGGTCTCTGGGTTTGAGGAGTAGGGTTGCCATGCAGTCCTTTGCCTGGGATTCAGCCAGCAGCTTGAATCCAGCTATGGCATCATTGTCCTGGCATTTGGTTTCAAACAATAGCGTTCTATAAAAAAGTATTAAATTTAAAGCTACAGGAAGGATCTTCACTGTTTTTTTCTCTTTTCTAGTGGGGAACTTCTTGTCAAAGCAATAAATGCTGGAAATTTATTAAATTTTAAACTAATAAGGCCACAGGAAAGGTATCAGCCCAGTGGGAGTTTCCAGCACAGTCTCACTCAAGGCCGGTCTCACTATTCTAGCAAGTCTCCAGCAGACTCAGTGACCTTTTCCTAGGACCCTCTGCAATCCATGGGGTGCTTCGTAGAAATTTGTACCTCCATCCTTGTCAAACTATTGCCATTCAGTGAATATAATGGATGATACAATAAAATAAATTATTTAAATAGTAGTAATAGAATAAATAACACTGTACATTTTTATGGATACAATATCTTTCCTCAAATAAGCAATTCCTTGGGCAGTAACTAATGCTAATGGGAAGGCACTTTGGCTGCATGTCATTCTCTGCATTAATTTGATTCTCAGATTCAAAGACATTATTGTATAGTCTAGGACTTTTACCGTTCTCCAAGTCTTAGTTTTCAGG